TCGTGTTGGCGCCCGCTTTAAAGCCCCTTTGCCATCCCACATGGGTCACATTCCCCGTGACCGAGATCCCCGTGGCATCGATACAGGGTACGGCTGAAGTGAATCAGACAGGAGTGGGTTTTATTTATTTTTATCTCCATTAATATTTCTCCCTTCAGTCAAGATCCCTCCCTGGCCCAGCAGAATATAGTCAGGCACCTCCCCGGGTGTTTTTAAAGCTCCTAAAAATAGTGGTGAGCCCCAGCCAAAGTTAACAGAGCTGAACTTTCCATGGAAAACAGCAGCAGGCAGGACACAGGGGGTGCTTAAAGCAGTTAATGTAAAGCTAACGCAGAAGCGCCGGCGGCTCCCCGGCCCCGCCCCCGGGCCCGCTGTTGTGTGGCACTGGCAGGGCCCTTGTTTCTGTGTTTGCTGGGGTGAGCCCAGCTCTCGGCGCTCGCCTGGGGAAAGCTGCAGCTCCGGGGAAGACCTGGAAGAAGACACTGGAAAGAATTTTATTTTTTAAGGCCGGTGAAGTGCGGCAGCGACGGATGGGACCTTGTTCTTTGCCTCTGCCGTGGCCCGGCCATGCAGTGGGGTGGCTGGTGGCCATGGGGTGCTGTGCAAAGCCAGGGTGCTCCTGGGAAGAAGGGTCCAAAACTGGGAATCTCCCAAAGCCCAGCCCACCCAGAGGTGCCCAGCACCCATGACTGCTGCCGTGCCGTGCTGTGCCATGCTGTGCCAGTGGGACACACGGGTGGGGTGCCAAGAGGTCACCTACCCCCAGCCTACCCAAGCAGAGGAGTAGGTGCTGGGGTGATGGGTGAGGCGCTGGGGGTGATGCTGGTCTGTCCCCCACAGATTGGCGGGAATATGACGGCCGGGCTCCACGGCGAAGGGGACAAGCTGAAGCCCTGGACCATCTGCTGAGCCAGGTGAAGACTGTCCACCAGCACTGTGTCTGCCATGGTGAGTGCACAGCACGGTGCTGCAGGGAGGCTGGGGTGGGAGATCCAGCCGGGCTCCCCAGGGTTGTGATGTGGTCTGGGGGGGCCTGACGTGGCACTAGGAGTGGGTCTGTCCCATACATCAGCATAGCAGGGAGACAGCTCAGGCAGTGAAGACCTTGGCAGAGCCTTCCCACTGGTTGGCAAGCTGTGCCATGGGCTACTGGCACAGCCCTTCATCTCCTGCTGCAGCATCTTGTGCTCTCTGCTCCCCAGAGCCCTGCAAGAACCAGCCCCAGAGCAGGAAGCACTCGGTCTCCAAGAGCCTCAAGCACCTTTTCCACCCTGGCAGCAAGTTTCTCAAGACGCTGAAGCGGTGAGAGTCTGGTGCAGGGGGGTGGTGGAGATGCCCCCACTCCCGGTGGGGACACAGGGCTGCCCGTCCGGGGCATGGCCGGGAGCTGCGTGCGCAAGCTGGGGGCTGGGGGCTGGGAGGTGGGTCCTTGCCTGGAGCGAGCTGGTGGTGTCAGTGGAGATGAGTCCCATTACCCAGAAATCAAATATTGCCATTTGGACTGGCCAAGCTGTGCTCGTATCCAGATCCCTGTGCCATGCTGGAGCATCACCCACCACCCACCTTCACACTTGGCCTCCAGGAACCTCAGCGTGTGTCCTGCAGAGGCCTGGCCCCATCGCCCTCCCTTGTGCTGTCCAGGGCATTGGCCATGGCATCAGCTGTGGCATCGGTTGTGGCATCAGCCAGGCTCACCTTGCTGGCAGCATTGGGTTCCTGTCCTGCTCCTATACTAGCCATGTGCCTCTTCTGCCACAGGCTGTTGGAGAGCAGCTGAGACCTGGGGCAGGACATCTCCTCTGCCCGTGGGAGAGGGACCCTTTGGGAAATGAAGCTGGCAGCTCAGAGTGGCACTGAAGTCTGTCTTCCCTCCCATGCAGGGGCCTCTACCTGACAGCCATCTTCTACAAGGACGACAACATCCTGGTGACCCATGAAGACCAGATCCCTGTGGTGGAGATTGATGACACCTACTCCTGCTTGCTCATGCAGGATTTTCTCTGGTTCACCAAGGTGGGTGACCAAGGGACCCTGTGCTGTGCACTGGAGCATGGCAGCAGTGTGTCTTCTGACACATCTGTCTACCTGGCCACCACCTCGGATGCTGCTGAGATGATGGCCATCACCCCAGACATGTCACAATCTGCAGAGCAACTTCGTTGTGGCACCTTCCTGCACAGGCAGCAGTGCCCGTCACGCGTGGGGCACTGCAGGGCTTTTGCCAGGGCTGCCCAGGTCAAATTCGGATCTGGGAGCAGCACCAAGAGACACCCCATGTGCACAAAGTGAGCGTGAGCTACTCCAGCTACTTGCACCAAAAAACACAACATCTGGCAGCTCCTGGGCTTCCTGGCGATGTCCCCAGGAGCTCCCTGTGCCGCTGTCCTCGCGCACCCTGCAGGGCAGAGCGATGCTGAGAGCCAGGAGAGCCGGGGTGAGCCAAACGGGCATCGTGCAGCGCTGCCACCTTCGGCTGGCAGGAAAAACTGAGAAACCCCCAGGGAACAGCATTTCCACCCCCGCCCCTGGCAGCCCAAAGGTGGGCGATGGAGCGGTGCCGCCCTGGCTGGGTGCTGCCTCTCCGCAGGTGCCGGCAGTT